CAAACATGTAAAATGATAAATACAATGAGATGTGATGTAATCATTAGAGCAATGTTTAGGTATATGCGAAATCATGGACTTGGTCTTTTCAATGATAATCAGTTTAGCAGCATTGTATGTTTTCTCTATGGCTGCTTTTAGTCTCTGTCTTATTATTAGACCATTTGCTTCACCTCTAAATGGTAAAGTGATATAAACCTTTTTCTTTTCAGCAGAATCAAACACTTGCTTTTGTCTTAACTCATCTCTACACCTATTGATAAACTTTAGCGGATAGCCATTTGAAATCAATGCTTCATCTTCATATAAAATGCCTTGACAAGTATATATGTGTGACCAGATTCTTCGAAATGTATAGCGCAAATACATCACATTTTTTAGATCGCGTCATATACTACTTATAAGTAGCGCGCACCATACTATAAATAAAATCGCAATAATAATAACTCACTTCAGCATTTTCCAAAATGTTTCTATTATATTTTCGCCATGTTCTAAGATGCTGAAAAGTGCTAAAGTTTCAAACAAAACTGTTTTTCTAGAACTGCATAGATCAACATAAATGTGTCCACTTTCTTCATCTTATTTCAGTTTTGTCACTGAGAATAAATAACCCGAAACCTTGGTTTTTACACCTAATGTTTTCTTTGACTTCTGATACTGTTATTACTTTTACTAATTGGAGATTTATCTGGACACAATTATACTTTCATGGGCTGATATGGTGTAAGAACTTGAATCGATGTACACCTGTGGCCGATTTAACGTTGCACATGACCGACTACACGCTGTAGGAAATCGGAGAATATTTTGTTCGCAAATTGTTACCCAAATGAAATTATGTACTTATTACAGTGGTTCCATGTTAAACCATAGGTCATTAAGAATCAATTTGTTCTTTGGGGGGATCGTGGAATTTTAATGACTATTGATCAAGAAATATGCGGTTGGTGAATACCATGCTAATATCTCTGTCTTGTACTTCTTATCTCGATGCTCAGTTAGATAAAGTCAGCTGTTTTCACTTTCTAAATAGTTTTGGTGAAGTTAAGGAAATTTCCAAAACACAATTTGATATCTGTTGACATCTTTTAACATTCAATTTGAACTTGAACTGTGCAGAAACAGACTTATATTATCTATATCTTCTAATATTATAATAATCAAATCGGTTTAATTTTATTTTTTGACAAGGCTTGTTAAATAAAATTCATCTCAATTCAATTATGTAATGTACAAGAATATTTAAGAAACGAAACTAAATTGATAAAATTTGGCATGTAGTGGAGTCCACGTCTCCCGTTTCTTCCTACTCGACTACATTGATGCAATCCCAATTGGATGCTCATATGCCAGATAACAAGACTGATCAAATTTCAGTCAAAATAATAACAACAAGATCATCCAAACCATTACTAGATTGCCTCAAAATGACTAAGGTTTTGAAATTTAATCGCTCATTGTAATACACTAGTTTGTAATCAAGCACTTGAAACACTTCAGCATAGGAAAAATGACTTTTGTTCTAAAAACAACATTATTGGTTGATTTGAAATAGTTAATTTCTTTTAGAATAATGACACATTTAGAGTACTATATTTTTTAAATGTTCATCTAATTCTTCTCTATAAACGTTAACAATTAAGCATAATTAATTTTTCTTTTTTATTCTAATACGCAACAAAGTTGTAGTTTAGAGTCGTAGTAAAGAAAGGAATAGAATTATTTTACACGCCTTATGCAATCAAAAAGCCGTAAATAATGTTTACGAATTTGGAAATTACTTTTAAAACAGAAACTAACTATTAATATCATGTGGATGAAATGACTACTTGTTGTATTGATGATGTTATGTAGATCATAATGAAAATCTCTTGGTAAAGAAATAATAAACATTTAGTTTTTTGGATTTTTAAGTGACAAATTTTTTTACTGCTATAGAAAATCAAGTATTCTCACTGAAAGTAATGCATAATTTACAATGTGGAAAGTCGGTAGATATTTTAGTATATTCTATGAACTCCTTGGAATCAAGTATAAATTCTTGTTAAAAGTGATGATACAATTTTGTGTTGAAGATCTTTTAGGCTTTTCGCAACATATCCTGTGAGAATAAGTATAAATGTAATAGAATTATATCTAGTTAATCGAAATACAAGTATACAATTCAGAAACAATCATTTCGAGATGGGAATTACGTTTAACAGTCCGTGAAGTGTTTAGAAATTTATAATGTATCCTTTAACCATTGGGTGTACCCACCATCTTACTCAAAAATAAGAACATGATACGAAAAAGAGAATATTTCACGAGAAAGGAAAGCAGTGAGTACAAAGCAATTAAATTACGGTTGAGGAAAATAATACTCCACAAACATTCAAAGATATGTTTTTACATCAAATTTTGACTGGTGTTTGTGTAGCCAATGCATTCAATTGCCTTATTTTCATGTAGCCTTTTCGTTTAGAAGCACCAATGAATTTCTATTTTGGTTATCTAATAAGCAAATCATTGAACAACCGAATGATGTATCATGTTTCTTAATTATTATTAACCAAATTGAAATTAATCAGGAATTTTACTGCATGAAGCATTTTTAAACTTATTAGAATAATTTAGATCTTAAACAGTCATTAGACCCAACTAGTTTAACACTTAGAAACATTTATCAAATGTAGATAAGTTGTCAAAAGTGTATTTTAGGAACATATCCTGCCTAATTCGATACATTTTTATCACTTTATTGAGAAATATTAACATTTTCTTAACTTATCTGATCAACAGGCGAACAATCAACCCATTCTACTTACTGAAAAGATGTCAGTTGCAAATTATGCAAATGACTACTTTTATTTATAACAATAAAGTATGTCATGATCAGCTGCTTCAATGTTTAACTTACCAGTAACCATGAAATAAATAATTATTCGCCGTCTACCCTACTCCTCTAGAACCCAATTCCTTTAATCATTTTTATGTTCATGACTGAGATGAATAAAAGATTTTGGGATGGTGGAGAAGATTTGTAGCTCAGGTCGATGACTGTGGTGGTGTTTCGTTTTATGAGATGGATATTTTGGTGGTGAAGCTTTCATTGTTCTTCTGAACAACATCATCAGAAGAAACTTCAGATGGAAGTGAAGTATTCGAATTTCTCCACTTCCGACATATAGCTTGTTCTGCTAACCTCGATCTTGATTGGTTGCTGTTGACCTTAAAGGTGCAAACAACGATAGGTTTAAGGTCAACAGCAACCAATCAAGATCGAGGTTAGCAGAATAAGCTACAAGTCAGACGTGGAGAAATTCGAATACTTCACTTCCATCTGAAGTTTGTTCTGATAATGTTGTTCAGAAGAACAATCAGAGTTTCACAACCAAAACATCTAGCTCAGAGAACCAAACACCACCACAATGAATAAAAGAGTTATGATTAAAGCCAAGCATTCTGTGATTCATTGCCAAAAGGAAACAGGCATGTTTCGATGATACAGCTTTAAACCACCGATCCCTCTTTCATTTGATAACATTCAGGATGGGAATAAAATACGTTTGTTTACTGAATGAATGTTTTATATATATATATATATATATATATATATATATATATATATATATATATATATATATATATATGATGTTTCGATAGATCTGTATAGAGAAGCATGATCCCTATTTTGAGTTTTGATAAAATATTCTTTTTAATTAGGAATTATTCCGGTTACAGATTGTTGTTATTCTTAAAAAATCATTTATTCACTCAAATTAATTTACAAATACATTTTCACATGCTTTAATCATACCAGTTGATCAAACAAAATATAATTAACCGCCGACAAATATACACTTCAAGTATGCCATAAAAAATTTCCGATCGGGATAGATATAATGGAAATTTTTAATTTTTCATCTAATAAAATGTTTGTCAATTTCTGTTTCAATATTAAATGAAGCAGATTTTGTTGCGCAAAAAATCGATATCTTGGCATATTTATAGACTTTGAAAAAAATTAACAGAAATCCATTTCTCATCGACAGAAATGAAGTTTTAATGATGCTTGATTATCTATCCTTCGACAAAATTTATCAAGTTATTTTTGTTTATACCAAACAGATGCTTAAACTTTGGATAATATATAGTTTATCTCGGTGTGCCTACTGAAATATTGATATTTTAATCAATATTGAAATTATTTAGATGATTTGAGCCTTAAATAGATGCTTCTAATAGAGTTTATTTAAATAATTTAACTGCATTATCATTATTTCCATTCTGGACATTGAGATGGTGGGGAAAATCTGTAGCTCAGGTGTATAATTATGGTGCAGTTTCGTTCGCTGAGCAGGATGTTTTGGTTGTCAAGCTTTAATTGTCCTTCTGAACAACACAAACCTCAGAACCTGAAGTTTCTGCTAATGCTGTTGTTCAGAAGAATAATGAAAGCTTCACAACAGGAACATCCAGCTCAGAGAACAAAACTCCACATGGTGTATAATATCATCACCGCCACCTTTATGTACAAGTCAGAGTCTCAGTTATTTTACAGTTGTTTAACCAGTTCATTCTAACGGCCCTGCTTGTGATAGATTCCTTGTGTAGGTTTTGTGGTTTCCTTTTGATAGATTCGTTAAAAACAATTGTCCAGGATGTTTGAATGAGACATGATGCTTACTGGAAACTTGGATTTAGAGGAGCCCAATTTACTAATACGTCTTGTACACTGTTATTTATGCAATCAGAGCATAATGTGTCATATTACATTAAATCTGCAAACTTTAGCGATCACTAAATGATGGACACCATTGCTTTAGTTATTCTGTATGAGATGACTTGTTTATGTAGCGCTACTCAAACAGAAAAGTAAAAATGTTCCCTAAATATCTTCGAAGACCTTTTAATAACAAGTCAAGATGTGAGACTTTTAACATACGTGCACATCACTAAGCACTTAATTTAACCGATTGGCTAAAATGTTTGTGAATTATTTGATGTTTTATTTGCTGAAGATATATCCCGTAATGTGACCGGGTGAATGAATGATATATCTTTTCATGAAATAAAAATCAGAGAAATGTTACTCAGTGCATGAATGAAACAGTACAGTGAATAGCATTTACAACATTTTTGTACATATCTATTTTTATTGGAATGATACATGAGATAAGCAAGACATAGCTAAATCATTCTTTGTTATTGATTCCAATAGCTTCTTCATATTCAGAAAATGTAACCATTCCATCACCGTTTAAATCCAGACGATTCAGTATTCGCTGCAAATATAGCGAAATAAAGACTAATGGCAATAAAAATCATAATGGTCTATTTCAGATTGTTACAGTTATTTACTAAAACAACTAATCAATAAATGGTGATTCAAGGTCGTGATTTTGTTTAAACTTGATGCAAATTGGTTGTGGTGTTTGTTCACACGGAACGTGAACAGAAATCAGGCAATCAATTGATTTTTATGAAGAAGCTTTGTGATGATCCCTAAAAATATTTTGTGCTTAAATTATATTTTTCTGATTCTAATGTAACTTGAATAGTCATAAATTAGAACTGAATTTGAAAGTAGCATATTTTTAAATTGGATATACCATTCAATACATTAACTTACATAGCTGAACAATTAGGTGCTACGAGACTGTGGCTACTTCATTGTTGTGAATGTCGGGCTTTCATAATGTGATGATTCAGTCAAGTTGTAGTAATTGAAGAATTTGTTTCTTTAGGTCATTTGAAGAGTAGTTTGATTAAAAGAAACTACCGAAAATATGGAGATGAGGTCCTACTTCTGACTGTACAGCGGTGTGATGTCAGTTAGGTACTTTTCTTAGACAACCCGCATTTGTAGCGGCACCAATTCCCCACAAGTGAACAGAGTGTTGAGGAAAGTTGACCGTGGAAACCTAGTACACCACTCCACCCTCACTTATATTTGCACTCGTACCTCTGATACCGTGGGAGATCCCCTTGATCATAATTGAATCATCCTATCAACACTTAATATTTCTCCTGTCCTCACGACTAATATTTCTTGTTTCACCATGCGATGCTGATGCCATCTATTCTAGTCCAATAAATGTTATGTACGATAATTAAAATACATGCATACATTAAATACATGTCACTAACTCTTCTCCGTCTCTGTCTGCGTTCCCTCTGGTAAAATAAAGCATAGCTATCATAGGAAGCTTGCCACCATCTTTCGAAAAGTCGGATGTCCAGATCCACTAAAAATGGCAGACGATTTTAATTTTCTAATAGGTAGACTAAACCAAGATGAAAAACACTTACATGAAACCATGCAGGGTTTAGCACTTGATCTGAATGTGTAGACCACATATTCACTCCTCGTCAAACTATGGAACATTGGCAAACTTTCTAATGTTTGACTGTAGCCGTATTCGTTGACCTTAGAACAACAGTCAATTCTAATGATCAGAAGTGTAGTGTTTTTCACTGAAGCGAGCACCAAAGAAGTACACCAACCTTGTACAGGCTTTCTACTCAAGCACTGCTGGTCAAGTTAAAGTCCATGACGAATCGTCACCAAAGCTTTTCACACCATCTGACGTGTGTCACGGTTGTCCACACTACCCATCTTTATTTATCTTTATCATAAATATTCTTTTAGAGAAAACGCTTGTTTTTTGAATTTTCTGAACCACATAAATAGGTTCAGATAGGCGATTGAAGTCCGCGTGATCCTCGTAAACAATGGTTGTAAACTTTGTGTAGGGAGCATGTACTTTCAACCCTTGCCTTCTCTTAGGAATCTCCTGATACTTGCTCTTTCTATACTTAATCTTTTTTCCGGCTTCCGATGCTGTTTTTGGTTCTGGCACTCTGGGATTTGGATTTATAAACTTTTATCTTGATCTGTTGTTATGCTGTAGTAACGTGAACTTATGTACATATATCGTAGGTTCTCTATTGCACATGAGTGACTGAATAAATGATACACACAGATACACACAGAAATGAAGTTTACCTTAAATTTGGGATCTAATTTATCACAGTCAAATGACAAGTGATCCCATAAGTTATTCACTATATCAACAAAGATATCTGATAAATGGTTTTATTTTAAACAAGTTACATCACCCTTCATTTGCTTTCCTATTCCTTATTAGTTAAATGCCTTTGAATTTTGTGGAAACGTATTGAGATGATGGAGAAAATCTGCTCTACCTATCCAGTATTTCAACACTGTTCCAATAGATGACGTCTGCTTTGTCCTTTGTAGTATTTTTCACTGTCTGAGGAGTTGACTATGTAAATGATATCTGGTTTTTCTTCTATTGTCGTTTTGTCGTTTGGCTTACACAGGATTGATTGAAGTGATTCTGTTGGTTTGTGTGCTACACCTATTCCGAATGGTTTCAGTTGTTGTGCTGTAATTTCCGATGTATCTTTAATGTACGGTAGTATGATCCGTATCTTGGTTCCTGTGCTTGATTTCGCTCCCACTGATAACTTCAGTTGGTAGTTTTTTAAGTTACGTGGACAGCCGTTATTTTAGAGGATAGTCATCAGATGCTTTTCTTCGTTTCTTTATGCTTCATGCGCTGAAGTGTGTCTTCGCTCTCTTCAACAACTCCTGTATGCAGCTGATTTTGTGAGCTCTTAGGTTGTTGCTACTGTAGTTGAGAATTAGATCTGTGTGGGTTGGCTTCTAAAATACTTGGGTCTCCAATTTTTCTATACCCGTTCTGATGATTAGTACATCCAGGAATGGTAGGCTTTTGTTTGATTCCTAGTCCATTGGGAATTTTATGTCATCGAAGACATTGATCCGATTGTAGATGTTCTACAACTCGTTCCTTTTAATAATGACGAATTTGTCGTTTATACAACGAACCCACATTTTTGGCTTGATCGCTAATAAAACCGACTCTTCTAGTCTCTTGCATCACAGCTTCCGTGATGAGTCCTGATATTGGTGATCCATTCAGTGCTCCGTTCGTTTATTCGTGGATTTTGTTGTTGAAATGAAAATATGTTGTTAAGCATAAATCAATTAGTTGTAGTAGACTATGACTCTAAGGTTTAGAATTCTTTATCAGTATATATATATATATATATATATATATATATATATATGTATACATCTACTTACATCTACTGTCAGTTCATTTCACAGTATCTGTGACCACAAAGCACTAAAGCTTCGTGGTGTGGTGATGTTTCGTTCTCCAGCTCAGAGAACGAGACACCACCACAATCATCCACTTGAGCTACAAATTTTCTCCACCATTTCAAAATTTCATGGTGTTATGACATTTGGCATTATTATTGGATAGATTACCACTGATTGTCTCTTTTTGTTACTTTCATATTGTCAGCGTTAGTTTCCTACTTCATCTGAATATTGACATGATTTCAAAAGCATGAATAATCCTTATTTTACTGTTTTTAGTTTCGTTTTGGGAGTCTGTTTACCATTCCTAATTTCACTGATAGTATATTGTTTGAATCTTTATAATTAACACTAGAAATTCAGAGGTAGATTTAAGATCACTTTAGATACTGTCTAGAAAAGTAAACCACTATATTGTGAACAAGATTTCAGCAAACATTTTCATGCTATGTTGATTTGATGGACTTGTTTTAATGGTTTTTTTTAAAGAGCTTTCACTTTTGTTGAAAACCGAAATTCTGTACATTGAATTCATAATATCTGTAAACTTTCTATTAATGCATTCAATGTACTGAAAAGCATTTGACATGTTTTAGGAGTACTACTACATATCGCTGCAATGTGTTTGACAAGATATTTGTTAGAGAAATAGAATTACATTTTGACTAATTGATTTAAATGTTTCTCTTTTTCTAAAATTATTTGCAAATATTATCATAGATTGTATAATAACGGGCGCATTTTCTATCTTTCTTGATAAACCCATTTGAAATGATAAGTTAGGATGAAAGGTAACATAATAAATGAATAAAATTCTTTTTTGACACAGCTCATTATTTAGTTACACTTGTAGCTTATTTTCGTAGCCTTTAATGTTCTAGTCATTTTTCGATAAATGAATACTGCCAATGGACTTCAAATCATGACTTACCTCTATAACAGTTGGGGAAACCCCGGCATTTCGTAATCCTTGATATAATTCATCACGTGAAACAACCCCATCACCACTTGTATCTAATTTATGAAATAATCTGATCAATAAATCTTTATTCGCCATACTGTTTATTGATGATATCTTTTTTGCATACAATTATATAAAGTCTGACATATAAGGAATAACAGAAATGATACATTTATTCAAATGGGGCACGCTGTGTTCAGTAAGACACAAAAAAATCTATATAAATATACGGAACTAATAATGATGATAATGAAAGTTCATGGAAATTTACTTCAAGAACTAGCCTGATCAAAGAAAAAAATCATAAGTGACCGAAGTAAACTGTACAGTTCATTTACTCATTAACAATAGGATGCTACAGCAATATATAAAGGTCAAAAATTTAATATTGGGATATCTAGTTAATCTCAATCACTCTGTTTCATCACAATCACACGACATCAGTTTAACATTTTTTAGTGGTTCTACCTCATTTCTTCACACTGCAGACCATGGTTTATAGCTAGTAAGGTATATTGTTAAGTAAATGAAATCAACAAAAAGTAACATTTTCATTGCTAAATAATACATGTTTTCCTTCAATGACATTTATGTCATTATTTGAACTGACATCTGTTGGATAACCTGTGAAATATAGGCAATCGTGAACAGATGATTTGTGCTAGTTTTAAGCTTTATAAGATCAAACATTCACAAAACTATTACAAAATTCTACATGGGACTACTGAGTAAAACATCACTAATTTATATTTGTTGGCATCAGTCAACTAGTAATATAGTGCAAGGAATTCAAAATTCAAAAATATTTTCATTAACCAAGTTATACTATCTTACACTATAATTTGGTGTTTTTCTACCATAAATGTGGTGGGGAAATTTAAAAAGGGTTTATTTCATTATTTCTCCTTTTAGCCATGAATTTACAATCTTTGAAGTTCTGATATACTTATTATTACCCATCAAAGATATTTCTAATGTATCTTTAAAGTTTGTTTTAATTGTTATTCATCTTAAAAGAAAACTAGGAGAAACAAAATTTTTAGTACATTTAAAGTGATAAGTTTTCACTAGAATGCACTTTGTGTTCGAACGCTCCCTCTTAAATCAAATATCATGTAGTAAGACAGGTCGGTTTACTTAAGCACTGTGTTAATTTGCTGGTCAATGAGATCGAAAAAGTACCTGAAATAACTATTGTATAGTATTAAAATATGCGAATTCTACTGAAAAAAAATATTTTTTTGATAATATTTGTAGCTCAGGTGGATGATTGTGTTGATGCTTGGTTCTCTGAACTGGATGTTTCGGTTGTGGAGCTTTCATTGTTCTTCTGAACAACATCATCAGCACAAACTTCAGATAATAGATTCGATAACATAGTTGTGATATCGAATAACGAAAAAGAAAACTGTTTGTACACTTGTTGAAATTCGGTTTTATACAATTATTACCGGTGAATATTTTACACTTCATAAAAGCTTGTTTCCACTGAAATAACCCGAAATAGGGTCAAAAAAACTTTTTCACTTTAAAACACATAATTTTTAGGCAGAGTTATGGAAGTTTGTGTTTTTGCGCATTGTTAGACCACCATTAGAAACCTGGAAGCATTGGACGGCCGTTTCATCCTGGTATGGGACTCATCAGCAGTGCGCATCCACAACTCCTGCACCTCGCAGTATTCAAACCCGGGACCTTCGGTATTTTGCGTGATTGCCTAACCATCGGACCACTGAGCTGGCATCCAACGGTGTTAATGTCTAACTCTGACTGATGTACGGGTTTTTGCGCGACCTCACCCATTTGTCTTTGGTAGTTACTGCCTACACCCGACAGGGTTGAACTCCATTGGTCACGTCTTCTCAACTAGAACTCCGAGAATTCCCTCAAGATCTAGTCACTAGTGAGCACTGTTACGATAATTTTTATATGTGAGCCATGTTTATTTTGAAGAGAAGTTCAAAACATTTTCTACCCTGGTCTAAGGTTATTTATATAAAAATTACTCCTCTTACTCATTAGATCATTGCATAAAGTTTCATTGATAGTCATGAAATTTTTAATCACAAGAGTAAACAGTCACTCATTACAAGACATTAAATCTTGAAAAGCAAATGAAACCAAGATATTAACTTTTAAATGTATTTTCGCGAGATTTTTTTCTAAATATTTACTAAAACATTTATCTCATATTCATTCTAATTGTTGAGAGTCTTATATGATAGATTTCTGAATAATCACACAGTTAAGTAATAACGGTTAGGCAAGTATTTCACATAACCAAGCCATTTAAGGAGTTTAAAATTATGCGAATAAATGAATATGTACTGTACAATTGGTTACCAAATTTTGTAGCGATTTTACCAACATGCCATTTTAATCTTCAGCAAAAGTAGTCTATAACTACGCATTTTGGTTGCTAAATGGATGCCCTGCTAAACAGTTTGTAACGCTTCTATGATTATAAAGTAGCTATATGGTTGCATGTTTCTTTTAAATAATTCACTATCTTATCCAGTCTAAGATATTATATCATTAAAAAATACAGGTAATATTATTTGTTAATAATAATTATCATTAAAAACACATGAAATTTAGTTTTACATACATACCTTAGGGTACGTTAATTTTAATATGCTGAACCAAACAGCTTTGTTATCATAAACCGATGAATATTGTTTATCTATGCGAAGTTTATGTATTCTCTCTTTGAAAAATCAATAAATAGATACGCTAATTGAAATGTAATCATTCAATCGATTGAATTATTTGTTTAGTTCAAGGAGAAATGAATAACTACCAAATAAAGATAGTATATTATTATCGTAAATACCCTAGCCTGCATTTTGCTTATAGAAATTAATATTTCTAAAATATGTGTATATTTATATGATGGAATTTTTCAAAATTTGAAAAGTTAATTTAGACAGTCGTTCACATAACTTACAGATTTTAAAAGTGCATCAATCAGTATTCTCTTAAAATGTATTACTTTACAATTATTCACATTTCGCATAAGAAACGTGAAAGCTCTGTAACGATAAATTATTGGTTGACAGATTCACATATGATCCAATCATATTTGTTACAATGTACATCCCACATATCATATTGATTAACAGTGAGTCAAGGTGTAGGTGATGTGTAATCCAAATCTGTTTATATTTCAAAGTAATGATGTAAGCAATTGAATTCGTCTGATTTTTGTAATGTAGGCGTTTATTTTCTATCACCTATAATCATGCGTAGTAAATATTGAGATAATAATGGAAATTTAAAGCTTATGGTAAAAATGATAAATATGGAAGATTTATCTAGTTATTTTGTGGACTTTGATTTTAGTCATTCGATCACCAAGTTTGACGTGACCAAAAGTTACTTTATAAAGAATGTTTTGCTTGTTGACTTACTTTGTGACTCATTCAGTGCTTTTGTACCCACTCATATAATTTAAAACTAATTATTCAGTACTCACGTACATTTTCAAAGTTTATTTATTAGTACTGTAGTTTTGTGAAAATTAGTACGTTTTCATAGATTAGATCATAAGCCAATCTTAGTTTGATTGCCACTGTTAACTACCGAAGTACTTCACAGCTGTTTTGTCTTAACAGTAGGAAACTAAAACCAAGCAACAAGGAATAACACCTAAAACTTTTTATTTTGTAACCTCTCGAGCACTGAGCACGACTTTGATGGTGTATATATTTGTTTGATATCATGTACGACTGACTTCACTGTCTGACATATGAAATTATTGAACTCCATCAGTCACGGCGCATAACGTATACTCCAAGAATTGTATCTGGCAGTTAATCCTTGATAAGAACACAGTTATTTTTGGTGTATGATTTGTTTTAATATCGGTAAGCATTTCACCAACTGGTTGAAGTTAGACAGGTACACCAGCAGATTTGTGTTCAGCACTCAAGACGTTGTGTTCGAGAGCAAACTCAAAAGTTTTAGATTCCAATCCTAGTTTTGGGATAGTAGCTTCTTATTGTCAAGAAGTCATGTGTCATGAAAAAACATCTGTGAAGTGTTTCCGTAATTAGCAGTGGTGATTAAACTATAATCGGTAGGTAATCTATTCTAAGAAAATTTATTTAGTACAGTTGGAGAATCTTTTGAATTTTTTTCTGAGCAGTAACATATTATTTGCAAAAAAATTCAGTAGTTGGGAAATGGTTAAAAAGATAATTTAAATGTTACTGTTGTGAATAAAACAAATTTCTTTCCAACATAAAATATCGTACCGAAAAATTCAAATTTATTTAGAAAAACAATTTTCGATGCTTTAAACAAATGCTGAAGAATATCGATGTTTACAGGACTGATTGAAGTTAAGTATCATGTATGTAGTAACTGTTTGTATAACACTTGTGAAATTACTAATATTTTATTTAGAAAGCGTCATTGGTTAAGAGTCAGTTACATCTATCAAAAAGCTATCTAAAAACTTTAGAAAGCTTCATCAGTCAAAACGAGACCATAATCGTTTCATTTATTTTTGATGTTTCTCCGAGAGTTGCACTTACCAAATATGATTCAACCACTGATACATGTCCAGTAACCTTGTTTGACTAGAAAACACTCAAGGAAACAATAGACAATAATTTCAACTATAAGTAGTGGTAACGTGAGTAAACACCTTTCTTTGATGATTGGAAAGCGTCAGTGTACACGGAACATATCCTAATCAGTTACTTTTATAAAACGTAGCTCTTAAATGAGACAATGCAAGAGAATATCACATACTATGGTCTTATTGACTTTCAACCCTCAGGAGGTATATATCAAGATCTCAAAGGTAATAACTGAATTTCAAATTCACCGATGTTGTACAAAGTTTCGCAATACATCTTATTAGCATCAAGGTTTATAAGAACGGTTGACCTGTTTGTCAAGGAACAGAGATAGGTTTATTTGCACAATGATGATTTGACCACTTTGCCATAAAACCACTGTAAAGTTAGAGTATATAGACTTCTAACAGACTAATAAGTCTTATAACCTCTAGACTGAGACATAATTAAAAAATATACTAATTCTATGTTTCTGAATACTCCCATTAATCAGTCATTATTCATAGAACTCGATCATATCTACCATTTACTGGAAAACTGGCGTGCCAATTAATGGATATGATAGAGAAGGTGCTACAACAATTATATTTTATGAATCATTTAATCCGCTATTTTCTTTAAATAACTTTTTACAATAATCTGCATGAATTAGTCATCAATGACCTTGATTTTTGTTTCGTCTGTGAGGTATTTTGACTACTGGTTCAAAAATGATCCGTGCTAACAAAAAAACAAGTCGGCTAGTATTTTAATAAGGAAAAGTTGAATTTTCAACTTGACAAAGCAAAAGCTTATCGAACAGAATAATGAACGAGAACCTTCCGAACATATTAAAATTAGAGAGCACCAGGGCCACGATCGTTTGGTTTATGTTATTTGAAATCATGACAAAACATACAGCTGGTTCTACCAATGATCTCAACTAATATTAACTTGTGCATAAACATAAGTTTGTCAGCTTTATCTGAGGGTTTATTAGTAACGATAGTAACTCGTTTGTCATCGGTATCACTAATAACTTTAAGTATTACCGTGTAACCGAAGCAAGATATCTTTGAATACTTTCAGCATGTTCAGAGTCATTTTTTAATACGTTCATCAGCAAGTCTACATATGTTTTTCAAAGTACAGGACGGACTTAAGTTTTTATCCTTAATAACAGAAGAACAAGGATATACTGGGGTCATTGTAGTTCTGTTTTTGAGACATTTATATATACTGATGAGTAAACCGGTTAAAACTAACTCCATCACCTTAAACTAAAGAGAATAATTGTGAAAAAGTTGGGTTTTCTTAATTATTAGTTTGTTTAATCGAAAATTTCTAATAACAGTTTTACGGTCAGTCAGACACAACGATAGTATAAAAACTCTGTGTAGTACATTTCTAGGAGGATATTTTTAAAAATATCTTACTTTATAAATATAAATTTTATTGACAACTCGTAAAAAACTCAATGATCTGTTCATGAGCTTTATAAAATGCAGATGAATCATACTCGTTATTGTTACACAGTTTTTTCTTAATTAAACGAGACTTTGGATACTATAGTTAACCTCAGTGTATGACCTATTGGCTTTGAATTCGAAATTCTCACAGTCGTACTAGTTAATTTAAATATTAATCGCTTAAAAAAGTATCGAGAAGTTAATTAATCTCTCATGATGATGAACTTCAACTGCTAACAATGTCTAGATCAAAAAGGCTTCTTACGGTACACAAAGAAGCCAACATCGAAGCAGATATGTATAATAGCTCAAAAGATATTATCTAATCATGTTTATTGGAATGATTATGAATCATTCGAAGGATAATTGAAAAATTACTTGCAAGAACAAAAACACATGAAAAAATAGCCTTTGAGATCTATATTAAAATAAACGTTAGGCCAAACGTTTATAGCTTGACATGCTTAGGATATTCATAGATTAGAATCCAACGAATTCATTGAGGTAAAAGTATCAGAACGAAGAACCCACATTCAAATGAGTATTGTTAAGATTTTCGATAAAACAATAATGATAGTAATAACATTGATCATTTTCTTGAATACAGCATTGTTGACTACACCAAAAGATTCTCAGAATAAGATATGCCATATTCCAATAAAGCGTTTATTTTATTATTTCGCCGATGAATCTTCTAAATAAACGTATGAAAATATTTGAAACATTGAACAGCTGTTATTATTCATAATCGACCATAAAAGTGTGCTACCAGTCTTGCCTTCATGACATCTTTTTTCATCAATCTAATATTTTCGACACAACAAGCTAGTAAAAGTTCCTTCTCTTTTCTTCAAATGATAGAGGAAGAGGAAAGTATTTAGGTGATCTGCGTGGTACATATAATTTTTTCAGTAATCAGATTTGTGATAATCCATCATATTATACGAAAGATCATAAGTTTACGTGGTTAACAAACATAGATAATTTAAATAAGCTGGCAATAAATGCACGTTTGGTAAAGTAGTGGTTCAAAAACTAGAGCAGGTCTTCTTACTTGAGCAGATTAATCCAACTGTTATAAAAACTATAAATTCAGTCCGACCTAACATTTATTGCTGCTTTGTAAGATATTATAAATCATAGTCATATTTATTCAAGAGTAATCGATAAATAGTTCACTAGATATTTATTAAAATAACTCGACGCACTAAATTGCTTTTCAACTTTACACATCGTTCCCATATGTTACAATGAAAATATATTAATCAGTTAAAAATTCATATTATAAACACTTCACAAACACAAACTCAAATCTATCCACTTACTAAGCTATTCTCTTCCTTTTCAACGGTACGGATTCTCACTGTGTTAAGCAGTTCAATTCACTGATTTTAGATAGATGTCAGATAGTTTATTGAAGTATTTAACAATTTTCCGTTGAGTGTTAGTTAATGATGCAATGATATTTTACATCATTGAATTATAGATTTAACGTACCAATAGTATGCATCAGTTGTTAAATATTGATTAATCACTGTTTATCATAGTCTTTAATAGGTTAATGTGTGTTTATTGGTACAGTTTACTATTGTCTTGAAACTTTCCGTTTATATAGTCACGTGAAGAAACTTCATTTCATTTGTTTGTGTATAAGAAACAGTCACATAATCTTTGGTTTATTTTCATTCAACTTAAATGATGATTTAAAGAAGACTCACAATTTACTTACGAGTGCATATAAAGTACATCTATTTAAATCACAATTATTGATCGTTGGGCTAAAATTGTTATAGGTTTTCATAAAAAAAAAAAAAGAAATATAACGACAAAAATACGACATAAAATTTAAGCTGATTGGATAATTGTCTTTCTTGATAAGAACTACACAAAAGTATCAGCTTTGTGAATAAGAGTTTTCATAAGTTTGACAAGACAAATGAATAAAACTCTTCAAAATTAAGCTTTCCATTACCATCCACATCATTTTCACGTATCCATTCGTCTAACACTGAACGTGATACGGTCATTCCAGCTTCATCGAATAAAGATTGTAATTCATTGACATCGATTTCACCACTACGATCTTGATCCATTTGGATGAAAAGACGTCTCCATCTGAAATTAAAATTCGGTTAAAAATCATTTATATAGATTTATAAATTGACAGTAATTATCCTTAATATGTTTTTGAGTGATAAGTGAAACGAATATTACCACTAATATATATATATCCAAACTGTTTTTCACGTTAGCAGTAAACATCGTGTATATTTAATACATTTAGGCATTTGCGGTAAAACAAAATCACTAAGAAACTGAAATAAATAATCATTAGAACTAATAAATCAGGAATTCGACCAAAAAATTCTTTTTATGGTTAGATGTGATTATCATGTGGACATAACAATTTAAGCATTTCATTGAAATGTTTGATTTAATTTGGAATGACTAATATTTAGTTGACACTACGGCAACAATTATGAACTATATTCATATCACGAGAATTTGTCCCATCAGCTTTATACTTTGATGCAAATATTGTTTGTTATTTTCAGTCTCTTAAATGTGAACATTAACCAAATCGAATGAAGTTATTTTTTCAATGTGTTAACTAATTTGATGTATCCAATCATTTTTTTTAGTTGACTTCTTTCCCTATGATATGGACATTTGTGACGAGAAGAGATTCTTCAGTTGAGAAAAAATACTTTAAAAAACAATAAAGTGATTACGTCAACAAATGAGTATGAAAGAAACCATTTTCTGATTGTTCAAAACTTGGGTTTTTAAAAAAAATGTATTTTTCAACATGGTATCATTTTTTTTCAGTAAAACACAAAATAAACTTTGTTTTTGAAATCATCCGCTTCAGTTCAAGTCAATAATTCTTCTATTTTTTTCAGAATGATTTTAGAAAAAAAAAATCATATGTAAATAAAGATTTGTACATAAACAAAACTTACTCAGCTTCAGGTTCTTTATTTAATCCTAAAGCTGTTTTAAATTCATCAAGAGTAATGAAACCATCTCTATTGATATCCAATTGTTTCATCACTTGCTATAAAAAAGAAATCAGACCGAATGAATAGTGAATAATGATCAAATAAGACGAATTGTTGAAAATATATATTTTTAAATGTTTCAAATAGATAATTGTTCAGAAGTTTTTATGCATTATTAAAGCATCTGAGCCAAATTGATCCTACATAGTGTCTGTGACTTCAATAATGTATCAGAAATCAAATGTGTTTATTTGTGCACAACATGCCATTCTCATAACTTGGGAAATAAAATTTAGGTTCTATCATTCTATCGAATCATTTGACTTCAATCTTGATAAATTTAATATACTTCAAGATAGAATCTTATCATTCAGTGAATAATAATAATAATAATAATCGTATCTTGTTCATGAACAAATGTAACTCTGCGGCTTCTATATTTTTAGAAAGAATAACTAATTTTCAATTAGCATCAGCGAGGCAAGGGCTGAATTTTTACAATTGAAAAATATCTGGAACTCCAAACAAATATCAATCAACATCAAAATCAGGATTTTCAATACAAATGTCAAGACAGTTCTACTTTATGGAGCGGAAACTTGGAGAACTACAAAAGCCATCATCCAGAAGATACAAGAGTTTATTAACAGTTGTCTTCGCAAAATACTTCGGAATTGTTGGCCAGACACTATCAGCAACAACTTACTTTGTGAGAGAACAAACCAGATTCCAGTGGAGGAGGAAATGAGGAAGAAGCGGTGGAAGTGGATAGGACACACACTACGAAAAGCACCTAACTGCGTCACAAGACAAGCCCTCACATGGAACCCTCAAGGCAAAAGGAAAAGAGGAAGGCCTATGATCACATTAAGCCGATAAATGGAGAAATATATAAGAAGAATGAACAAGGATTGTACAGAACTGGAGAGGGAAGCCCAGGACAGAGTTGGTTGGAGAAAACTGTTGGGCGGCCTATGCTCCATTGTGGGTAACAGGCGTAAGTAAGTAAGTAAGCTATTTATAAGTATATATAAATATATATATATATTCTAACCTACCTCAACTTTTGCCATGGACAGTCCAGCTTTCACTAGACATGTAGTTAATTCCTGCCGACTGACAACACCATCTCCGTTCGAATCAAGTGCAGTGAAAACCTCAATTAATTCTTCAGAACTTAAACATCGAGACATTGCTTACAGGAAATAGGATAAGTGGCTAGATGTTTTCTGACATAAGAAAAAATAAACAGGTCATTAAAACTTATAACTCAGAATGTTTTACTGTTAAAGTTTAACCCAAATCAAGTAGTAAGATTTTATTGCATAGTTATTCGTTGACTGACAGTCATTCGTGTATTTAAACGTTCGTTCAGTTAAACAAATGATTTAGTTGAACTTCAATATAAAAGCTTGTTTTAAACAGACACAAACAATTAGTTTATGATTTAATACTAAATTAATATGAGAATTCACTTTAAAATTAAGATACTCTTCAGAAGAACACGTCTATGAAATAATATTTGACTAAAAATGACATCGTCGTTTAACACCGGCAAATGTAATTAATTATACATTGAATATAGAACCAAAATCAGACATTTATTTACTTCTTTTTTTAGCTGACTACAAAAATCGCTTTAAATAATTTATTAAATCAGTTTTTAAAGGGATGCAATTTATTGGCTTACGGCATGTTATCTTTAAGGTTTAATCCTTGGTTGATTGTATTGCCTTGCCCGAAAATAAGTTTAAAAAAGAAACTGGAATTCGAACTGAGTGAGATTAGGACATTGCTATAGAAGAACATTGAATAACTTGAGCCATGTCAGAATAATTCGCTTTTTTTTAACTCAAGATTTTAACTTGAAGAAATCACATTTGTTTCATAAATAAAATCGAAACAGATTTTCGAAAGGCAAATTAACCCATAGAAATATTGCTGATGTTGAATAGGAAAACAAAACGAGATCAAGACGATGTATTATTGATTGATAATTTCAAACTGAATTTTATTTATAAACTCTTTACAATTAAGTTATTGTTATTATAATCTAAATCATCCGAAGGAAATGATAGAATCCTTGTGGAATATATAAGCTTTTTTCTATTTGAAGTGAGATCTGATGATATTATTGAGAACAAATAATGACACCTATCATTTCAAAAAAGCTGACACCACAAAAATTATCTGTTTCGTCGATAAATCAAAATTTCACAGCATCATTGGTAACGAATGAAATTATGACAGAAACAGCTAATTACTGAAACCCAGAATATGGTAGGGTGGTCATTGTTCATGAAGTCAACAGACTGCAATTCCATATCGATTCTACTAAGTTTCCATTTTTAATAAAGCCCCTCCAGATATAAAGAATCAAAGACAAACACATCGCGTCGGTCGCATTTAACAAATAACAAAAATACTCTTGCAATTCTGTTAAATAGTAGCGATAAAAGTATACGTCTACTGCATGATAAATAATAAAAATACTAAGGCAAAAATAAGCGCTGTTTTATCGCATCGGAATGAACATTTATATTTCCCTTAGGAATTTTACCCTTCTTAAATACTTCATTGTGAGTCTTCTGTATTAAACAAACTAATCTGGTTATAAAACGCAAAGGAATGTATGGGTTTTTATTCTAACAGTCGGTATTAATCATCGAGTTTCAAAGTTTTTAATTATTAAACCGTTCTTTGAATTAAACTTTTCATTCAATATTTATCATTAAATATATTATTCTTTCAAATTGAACTTAGTCTTATCCTGTCTACCCACCTACACCACCTAATAAGATTTTTTACCTCTCTTCATAATAAATGTATAGTGTGTTGTCGACTCACCTAAATTTTTGTGAAAGATAAAAGTTCAAAGTTCCTAGTTCCATAAGGATTTGGTAACTGTAAATTGTTTTAATATTTTTATATATACTCATTATCAGATTATTAATGAGCACACCGTCAGTTTTGAATAGCATAGATCTGTTAATACAATTAAATTTGAATTCCAAGCTTTTCACAGCCATTTTACCAAGTAAGTTTGCGTTCCAGGGAAAACGAATTTTAAATACGTCTCAATGAGTTTGTTTCATGTAAGACATATAGATTCTATCAGTGTACAGTTACAAAAAGTATCTAAGTCATGATATTGATATGATTTCTACACCTACTAACAAAAAATTGGTGCATTATTAATCAACTTACCAGGAAAATTTAAAAAATAAATATAATTTCAAAAGTTTTTCTATCGCAGTTGTTCACCTTTTATGAATAAGAATTACTTAAATTGCAGTATTGGGTTTCCATATAAGAAACAAGCGCAATTATTTGTCAGTTCTTCTTTAAAGCCACCAATCATAGGATCGTCAGAGTGACCTTGAAATGTTATGATTTCAAATGAGTTGTTGTATCTCAATGGCCTTGGCACGAAAGCATTATATGATGGCAGCATTCATAATAGCAATGATTTGTGTTTGTGTGGGTGGGCGGGTATCTTTTTCTACTCTTCATACAATGGGAATAATGCTTGGCTTGGGCGGACGAAGAAATAAAAATGGATGGATGTTTCAGTTCAATCTAGGGGTAGTCACTGTCAGAGAGTGCTTATAGTCTACAGTTACAAGCTAAACCAATGTTATAAATACACACTTTTGCATGGTCTGCCACAGTTAAATGAACTCATCTAAACCGTAATGCGTCTTACTGTCGACTACAGTTGTTCTGAGTTAGGTAGTGGTTTAAAGAACAAAGTATTTGATTTCAAGTAATTGAATTATAAGTTCGAACGCTGATTCCCTAAATTGATGAAGATAGTCAAGAAGTATGCGGAATCTTCAATGGCATAAGATATTTATGGTTTAATGTCAGTGATGTATATCAGTACTAAGTGAATAAGTTAGTGTAATTGTTTATTATCATTCGGTCCTAACAAAATTTATTGTCATAAATTAATATTTTTATCAAAATTAATTAAAATATTGTTCATTTTGGGTATTTCTCATTTTACATATTACGAACGAAACATTTCGTCAAACAACAATCAATATTTGGGCTTGATTTTTCAACATGTGAAGTTACCTCCGTTTGAATAATCTATCACTTTAGTTTCCGATAACATTACTGAAATTAGAGTTTCAAATCAGTCTCTACAAAAGAACTTGACTTTGGAACAATCTTTACGGGGACTTATATCACTTTTGATTGTATTCAAGTTAACTTAACCGTGAATAGATTTTTCACGAATCACTTAACAATAACATTTTATTCACTGATAACTAACATCGGCGAGAATTCCTGAAGTAATAAGTGGAATTTTCGACTTTTAAAATGTAATAACTATGACAAAAGAAAGTCAATAGTTTCAACAATACTTTTTTAATGATTTCGCTAAATTTTTATATTAATAACGTTTGAAATCTAGGTCATCAGATCATGGATCAGTGATACGACTCAAGCATTTTGAACTCATTACGGTCTATGTTTATATTGATGAGCATAAAATCATCAATTTTTAAGAAGCAGCGGGAAAATGTCGAAACGATCCTGTTATTTTTACCTGTATATCAATCTATATCAACATAAGGATCAAATTAGATTCATTTAGCATATCGTTTACTTCACCTTTAAAGGTTTTTTTCTATTCAATTCAATATACATATTTATTTGTGAATCAGCATATTTAATTGAATATAGGTTCTAATGTAGTGAACAGATCGTTTTGGCAGTAGATAATTTTTAAGCAATAACTAAAACTATCATGCATTTTACTGTTGTGTGTTAAATGAATTCTACGTAAAATGTAAATCACATTGCCTGTTTGTTCATGTCATTTACACTCAATGCAACAACAACAAAAAACTAACTCTGTCACAGAATGTTTTCATTATCAACTAAAGGCGTATTCGTAATTTTGTTAAATGAACAGAATTAATAATATCTGTCAGTGGGAATTACTTCATTGATATCGTGAAATCCTATTGATTAGGTTAGTCAGTCGGACAAAGATTCATTTTTACTATAAGATGTAAATTATGTAACAAGATTACATATATTCATTGTAAATGAAAAGAGTTCTAGTGGGAAGACGTGATCAGTGAAGTTCAACCTGTTCGGGTATAGACAGTAACTATCGAAGACTGTTTATGAGGTTGTGCAACTCCGTGAATTTGATCAAGTTAGACATTAACACCGTTAGATACCGGTTTAGTGGTCCTATGGTTAGGCGTTCGAGCACAATAACGTAGGTCCTGGGTTCGAGTCCTGCAAAGTGAAGGAGTCGTGGATGCGCACTGCTAAGGATTCCCATCCCAGGACGTAACGGTTGTCCAGTGCTTCCAGGTTTCTAATGGTGGTATAACATTGATCGACTCATGGTTTCAAAAATGTGTAAATGAAAATTGACAGTCATTTTATCTGAAAAATCCATATATATATATATATATATATATATATATATATATATATAATATATATATGTATATCAAAAAACAAATACCGGTGAGGGACACTAATCTTCAGTCTATTACTCTGTCTTCGCGTAAAACAAACTACTAAAGTGAGATAACAATAGATTAGGTAAATATAGAAACTTAACAAAATCACAGTTGATTGGTTATGAAGTGTTGATTGTATGTTTGATTGTTAATCAATCAATTAAATAGTCTGTTTTTTATTTTGTATTTTTTTTTTACAAATAACCACATGTCATCATCACAATACACGCTTAGTATTTTCATCACAAACGTTGCATTATTAAGCATTACAAACACCTTTATTTGTAAGCGTTGATTGTATGAGCAAACGAGTGTAAAATAATAAAAAAAAACAAAGAATCGGTTTGTGTTACTTTTCACATACAGATATATATATATATATAGCGATCGACTGACTCAAACTAAACTATTTTTCAATTATTATTATTATTATCAATTACTGATAAGTAAAACATAAAAAACCAAACAATTTGAATATATGGCGTTGAGATTAAATGAAATGGATAGAAGAGCATTGATTGAAAAATTTCATCAGATGGATAAAAATTGTGATGGTGTTTTAACACCGTCGGAAATTCGACTATGTGTTCAACGATCTGGTCTACCAGAATCAAAAGTCGATGTAAGTTGTTTTTTTCCGTCAAATATTTTTTTTATTAAAACTTAATTATTATTGAATGAAAATCAAGAGAATTCCGCAAAGAACATTTTCTTTTCAATGGTTTCATATTTTGGGACTGTCGAATCGTATTTATAGGTAATCTTCCACGTAGTAGCTGATAGCAGTGATCGATTCATGATTTCAATGAAACAGAAGAGTTTCACAAATTCAGGTGTATGACAATGAAAATTGAGCTCTGTTGCGTAAGTCTGAACACTTCGGATCAAAAACTTATGCACTGCCGAGGCTTGAGTAATCCACTTATATAGAAACTATATGTTGAACATCTCATCCCTCTCTAGCCATAGTCCGTTTCATCAAAATGTTTATGACTTTGCTTTGTTTTTATGGCTATTTTTATTTTAAACCGTGATCAGTTATTATTATCCTCTGTCAATTTCCATGATTATCATTCGATTATTGTTATAACAGCATTTTTCATTTTCATTGAATGAACAATTATCTTTCATACATCTGACCTCATCCCCCTATTCTTCTAACCCATGGATTATTACGTAACTTCTTATCGACAGTTTCAAATGATGATTAATAGTATATTTAATACTTGAAACCTTTCAATAATCCTGATCATATTACGCAGTAGCACTTTATTTTCATTGTCTTATAGTTGAATAAGTTTGACTATTGTCCTCTGCTTTATTGAAATCATGTATCGATCTATGTTGCCGACTACTACGCGATAGATTACCCATAAATACGATCCTGCGTAGCAGTTTCAATTATAGATTTTCATAGTTACAACATATTTCTCATGAGTGATACTACCAATGAATTTCGGTTTGAATGTTTTGAAATCTCATTCTACAGACTTAACTCAAATAACTTACTTAGTTAAGCCTGTTATCCCTGATGGAACATAAGCTACGAAACAGCATTCGTCAATCATTTTCATCCTAGGCGTTCCTTTTCAAGTTCAATCTAGTTTCTTTTCATTCTTTTTATGTCTGCTTCCAATTCTTGACGCAATATGTTCTTTAATGTTCCTCTTTTCCTCTGGACCTGAGGATAGCAAGTTAGGGGTTGTCTTGTAAATCATTTGTCCTATCCACCTCCAGCGAGTTTTTCTGATTTATTCCTCCACTGGAATCCGCTTTGTGTTTTTCTAAAACATTTTGTTGTCGATGGTGTCTGGCCAACGGATCATCAGTATCTTGCGTAGAAAACTGTTAATAAACACTTATATTTTGGAGATAATGTTTTCTTTCATAGTTCTCCAAGTTTCTGTCCCATACAAGAGAACGGTCTTGAGGTTTGTCAGGAAAACTGTGACTTTGGTGTTAGTTGATCATTGTTTTAAGTTCTAGAAGGAAAGCTACCCTTGTTTTTTTAATCCGTTTCTTGACAGTTTTATCAGACCCACCTTGCTCATCAATGGTGTTGCCCATATATGTAAAGGTTTTTAAATCCTACAAACCTTCTTCATCAAGTGTGAATTGGATGGTTTGTTCTGTGCTGTATTGAAGGATCTTGCCTTCTACCTTATGTCTTTTGAAACCTAATGCTGCAGAAGTTCCTGCTACATTGGCTATCTTCATCTGTATTTGTTGTTATGTCTGGAATATGAGAGATAGATCATATGCGAAGTTCAAATCATCCAGTTACATACAAGCTCTTCACTATACCCCATGCTTCCCCCAAATGATGACATCACCAGGAGAAAGAAGGAGGGTGAAAGTAATAAACCTTGCCAGATTTTGGTATTCACTTGGAATGAGCTGTTCTTCATGCGCGATCTTGCAGTTAAATCCGTGAAAAGAATTCAGTCTGTAGTTTTGACAAAAGAATGATGTCTCTGTAGTTCTTACACTTGCTGAGATAGTCTTTTTTGGTATTCTGATGAGTTTTCCTTGTTTCCAGTTTGTTGTTACATTTTTATTGTCCCAAATCTTTTTGAAGAGTACGTGGAGTACCTTTGCAGTTACTGTCATAATCTGCTTTCACTGCCTCAGCTTGAATGTTGTCTGGACCCGTTGCTTTGCTGTTTTTTATTTGTCTGATGACCATGCTGATCTCATCAGTCTTTGTTGGGCCAAAATTGATTGGAAGGTATGTGAGTGGTTGTCCGATGTTGGGTATGTTCAGTGGGACTAGTATATTCAAGAGTTCTTCAAAGTGCTCTAGCTATTCGTTTCACTATCCTTCAACATCGGTGATCTCATTGCTTTGCTTGCTTTTCACTGGTTGTTCTAATTTACAATATTTCCCAGCACGCTTCTTCGATGTGCCATATATTTTTCTCATGTCTTTTTCTCTTGCAGCCTTTCTGATATCATTGATAGATCTTCCACACATTTCTAATGCCTCACTTCACTAGTTTGTTTGCTTTGTGTATTCGGCCTGTGCATTTATCTTCTCTGCTCATCTTCCACTGCTGTTGATTGCTGTCCTCCTGTTCTTCTGTTCTACGCTCACACTCAGAATATCAACAGAGATCCACTCCTTGTGATAGTGCTTCTTGTGACCCGAAACCTCATGACGTGCTGCAGCTTCACCTTCTTTGATCCCTTTCCAGTTGTCCACCATGCTATTTCCTCTCTATTGAGTAGATTGTGAGAAGTTGGAACTTATTACTGAGGGCCATCTTGAATTTTCCAGTGTCCCGAATAAAGGCTCTAACAAACGTCTATGGTGCTGTTCGACCAGTTTTTTTATGCTTCTCTGGTTTCGGTTTCATTTCGTCCACAATCAAGAGATGACCTGAGGCTATGTCAGTTCCTCTCTTTGTTCTCACATCCTCCATTGTCGTTCTGAAGTTTTTCTTGACGCAGATATGGTGGATTAGGTTCTGAATAGTGTGATCCGGTGAAACCCATGTTGCCTTGTATGCGTTTGTGTGGGAATATGGTGGCGCTCATAATAATTTTGATGAAGGCACATAAATTTGTGCCTAGCCTAGTCCTTGTTGTCCCCTGATGTTTTCATATCCATTAATATCCATTCCAACTTTGGCGTTTAAGTTACCCACCAGAATGATCAAAACCTTTGTTGATTATTTTTCTACATTTAACTGTATTATCTCATAGGATTTATATTTAACATCCTCATCGTTATCTATTTGGGCACGTGGCACTAGGTACAGTTGATTGTAATCCACTCTTTCTTTATGTTGGAGAACACTTAGATGACCCTGGGTCCATGAGATTGCAATTCAGTAAGTGCTTTTTGTGCCTTTCTGGACACCATCAGTGCAACTTGTTGTGTATGTGGGTCATTTTCTTCCTCATGGCTGGAGTACAACAGCAAATCTCCTGAGGCTAGTCTTTGTTGTCCAACCTGCGTCCAATATGTTTCACTGATTTCAGTCACCTCCACGTTGTATCTTTTCATTTCTGCAGCAACTTGGATGACTCTCCCGGTGTCCCACATTGTTCGAACATTCCAAGTACTTCGCTAATGGTTGCGCTGGTTTTCCGAAGGTGCTTCGGCCTCATGACTTCCAAAGGAGCTGAGCTTTCACCATGAGGCGTCATAACTCTTCTGAAAGAAGACCTTCTAACTGCCAGGACAGAGTTTAAACATTTTGAATTATTTTTCCTGATTAGCGTTTTATCAGCAGTTTGGTTTTCCACAGGTTCTCCGACACCATGCCCACTTCAACTCCGTTATCGGGGCTTAGGACCGTGGTTAACACCTGAAGGACCCCAGGTGGAGTTAACTCAAATTACAGAAAATCAAAAGACAATATTACTTTGTAAATTTTTCGAGTAACTATTGAATTTTAAATCGATTAACAATTCATGTCAGTTTCTGTCTTTATTGTTCCAGTGAAGGCATAACCTGTTAATATGCCATTATTAGTTTCATTCATTGCATAATCAATGTTTAACTTTTATTTTTCGATTCTAAATCAAATCTCTCTTTTAAAACTGAGTTTACATACAGTCACTCAGTCAGTTACAACGTACATCAGTTGAAGTTGCCATAACACATGAGCACAGAAATGCAATTGTCAATTCAAATCCCATAGTGGTAGATGCAGTAGAAGTATTAGCGGTAGTGGAGAAGATTAGGGTTTGAAGATATTATTCAGAGAGTATAATCTAGTGAAATAAACCTAAAAATAGAAAAATAAAGGTGATGAGGAATTCAAAAGATTATTAGAATTTGAGAGAAGACAAAGAATGGATACATTTACACCATCGCTAACTATTTTGAGCCACGTCATTCAAGGTCTCTAACCATCGGTTACTAATGTCTCGCGTACTCCGACCAGATAGTCTACATCTACCAACATGACTCAGTTCAGTTGTCAATGACTTCATAGATTTCTGCTATGTTTTGGTTTGGATGCCCCTAGCTTTCTTCAGGCCTACCCTTACACCACAAAACACCGCTTGTTGAATTAATCAGTGGGGTAGACATGTAAAATATGTCCCAACCACCTCAAATGATGGAGTTTCGCTACTGCATCAGTTGATTTGCCATCCTTAAGTATTTCCTAACGGCAGCATTGCTAAGTCGGTGGTGCAAGGATGTAGGAGCAATTCTTCGAATACGCCTATGGTCGAGAACCAGTAACCTACTAATATCTTCTACTCTTACTGGCCATATTTCACGGCCATAAAGTAGAACGGAGTAAACTATGTTATCAGCATATTCTAAGTCAACAAATGAAACGCTCCGCAGAAGTTCAGTTCTTGAAAAGTCCAACAAACATTGTGTCATCTCCATAAGCGTGTCTATGCTAAAGTTAAATAAGATTGGAAAGAGGGGACAACGCTGACGAACACCACTTGAAGTAATCAATTTCAATCACAGTGTGTCTTACTTTGCCCATATTATTGCAGTCGAGAGTTAATGTACATTTCTGGTACTCCTTTCACTTTTCATGCAAAAGTTTATAAATAGTTAATAGATGATTTCATTCAATTGTGAATGTCACATAGTTTTGTTTTTTTTCATTTTCAAGAATTAGATTGTTTATAAGTTTGTTCAAAGCATTTGTATACTATTTTTGATATTGTATTCAATACATAATGCTTTTTTATAGGCAAGTTTAAAATTTCATTTAAACCTTGAAACATTAATACAAAAGATTATTTGCTTATTTAATTTCCAATTAAGCATTATTATTATTATTATTATTATTATTATTATTATTATTGTTTTTCTTCTTCTTCTTCTTCTTCTTCTCATAAAAGGAATTTCTACGTTTGTTTGATCTAAGCGGTGACAATGTGATTACATTGCAAGAATATATTTGTGCACTTGGTTTACAACCTCCACCGCCTAAAGAGTAAGTCTATTTTGTTTTTATTCAATAAGAAACATAAGAAAACACAAAAAAAAAAATTAAACCAAAATTACATTGAATCCAATAAATAAAACTATTCCTTCTTCTCCTCTTGATTAAACATTGTGATTTTTTAATGCTAAAGAAAAAATACTTTGTTATGCAAATTTTTTACAATTCATTTTTCTATATATAACTCTGACATTATATGTATTGAATTCGATGTACTCCATTGTTGACGACTAATCTATGCAAACATTACTCAAACAGGAAGTGTAGAAAGTCTTATTTTACTTTAAATTTGCATTGAAATCATTCAATGATAGATTAAGTATTCATCAGTATTAGACGATAGTAATTTTCTTTACGGAATAGTACAAAATTAAATAATTGCAAGTTGAAATTGAATTGTTCAATAATGATGCCGAATAAATGAAGTGCAAACAAAATCGAAATATATGTATGTATGAGATTGTGAATATACAAGTTGAGCTAATAAACTATTTCTCTGCAATTCATTCCTCATCAAGACTCTAAACTAGTAAATCGATTTTTATTTTTCATCAATATTAAGCCATAACCATATAGATGATGGTGACTGAACTTAACAATCTAATGATCAATTATCAACAGTATGTTTTCTTCAAAATTAAAACTAAGGTAAAAGTTAGTCATCGGTTGATTATCACAACTACTAACAGAAGAATGAGAACAGGAATTGAGATTTGTTATAAATGTAAATATTTGTGCTGTTAGTGAGACTCAGTGGAAATACAGAAAATAAGATGATCAGATTATTTATTAATCAGAATGAAGAATAATATTAGCAATTAAAGTTTAATAAAATCGAAAACTGGGAAATTTTAAAAGATGTTGAGAGTTATGTACTAGTAACTAGTTTACACAGCTATGGTACAATAAGAGTTTGTACTAGCATTTTCTATTTGATATATGTTGATATTTGTTCTTACGTGTTTTGATATATATTATAAGGACTAGGTTTTGCAAGCATAGAGTCAGTTAGATGCTCGGTTATACTGATTTGGTGACTATTATTAACTAAATTGTTTCCCGTTATCCTTTTGTCAGTCATGAGGGTATGATTTTCAGAAATGCGATAATGTGTTTACGTGATACTACTTATAAGTAGTATATGACGTGAGTGTCAACGTAATGTCTGGCAGCAGAAGATACGGGAAGATCAAGAAAGGAAGAGTGGGAAAACAAGATACCGTGGCGGAAGGAGTTCGAGGATGGAGATGTGGGAGCCTTCCTGAAGGAGTTCGAGGCCGTGGCGGAGCTAGCCGGATGGAAGCAGGAGAAGACGGTGGCTTTGGGATTGCTGCTTCGCGGCCGAGCGAAGGCGGTGTATGACAGCCTGGATGCCAAGGTGAGGACATGGAAGGCGGTCACGGATCGGCTTCTCGCGGAGTTTGACAGCCCAGTGGATCGATAGGAGGCGCTTCAGAAATTCAGGACGGTGAAGTTATCGGCGGATGGAGACCCACTGATGCTGGTGTAGTGAAGAAGAACACAGGTGAGGACAACCAAAATGTATTTTGCGAAAATTACAGAGTTACTCAGTAAAATTGGAAAACGATATCGTAAATCGTTGATTTGCAAAATATAAGTTCATCATATCGAACTGGACTGTTCCTGTTGCAAAACATCAATCCATTGTCACTATTCATGCGTTTCATACAAATTCCATTGTTTTCCCACTCTTCCTTTCTTGATCTTACCCTATCTTCTGCTGCCAGACATTACGTTGACACTCACGTCATATACTACTTATAAGTAGCTCACACCACAGTACGTTCAAAATGACTGATTCTACAAGAGGAATTTTGAAATGTTAGATAAACATGGAGTCAGAAAAACCAAGTAATCTTGATTTCGGGAGCTCGGTGTTGGCCAGATGAAACAAAGTAGAAATGTTTATATTTACTATTCTGTCAGTCCGTTTCGTTAATCTGGGTGTCACCTTACTTATGTGTCTAAATGATGTGTATGAGTACTAGGAGACTTAAATTGTTAGTTTAAAGCTACCTTACATTTGAGTTATACAAGCATGATAGTTCAGTATACACACCAGTGTGATTTGAAAGGAAATATTCATTTCTTCTAAAATTTAGCTTTGTAGATCTCTTTATTATTGCATATTAATCAGTAAGTGATCTCTTTTATAACGATTATATGTTCAGTACTGAAACTTGCAGAATGAGTGAGTGAACAGAATTTACTTTATCCTTTATGGAGAAAACACTGATGATTGAGTGTCAAACATCATATTAAACATTTAAAATATAATTTTTCATACATTACATGGCCTTTATCTACGTTAGGTAATAATCTACTTCTTTAACGAAGCTACTATGATTCACCAGCTTGAATGATTTCAAATAAACCAGATTCTGTGTTCTTGTTTGGTATTACTCACTAGTATTTGTATAGGCCAGTAATAATATTAATTATTATTGTTTTGTTAACCTGATAACAGTGTGAGTAATATAATAAATTACATACCACACATTTTTCATATAACAGAACTTTAAACTTTTCATTTCTGATTGGTGTTTAGTGTTTCCTAAAGGTCATACCACTTATATCTTCCTTTCGACATTGAAACTGGTACACAGAATAACAATATTATAGATCTGAAGTATTCAAAAGTATTCAAAAAATACCGTTCGAAAATGTTTTTCTTGAAAGTTAGAAATAATTTGTTCGATATATAACTGTTACGCTCGTCTCTAAGTACACTTAAACTATTACGGGTTCACCTTAGTCGAATGAACCAGCCTCCAGGTAGGCTACTGTGATTCCTTGACCAAATTGTACCAACAAGGAGTCTTGATATAGCGTAGAAAGTGTATTCTACAAAACACCCAGCCAGCACACGATGAATCCGAGCGCTCAAACTGCCTTTATTTATACTCTATAGAGACGTCCTTGGGACAGTCACAAAAATAGCACACTAAAATGACACAGTAACCAATCACAGTCAGGGATTTTCCTGGTCAGAAATGTGATCTCAAGGTCAATTGATCGGCCCATGAAATACATACGAAATAAAGATATTTATCAAACAAGTTCTGGGGATCTAACATCCTCAACAAGAACATATATATAAAACTAAGTTTAGAAACTTCCTATTCTAAATACTTGGCATATAGATAAAAAATTTAGCCAAAAATCTTTCTTTTTTTGTTAGGATTTCTACTTGAACGTATTTTAATGTTATTTTACATAAGCTGTTTAAGTAATCAACATATTATTAGCCATTAGGCATAACTCTGTTAATCGATTTCATCTGCTTATTTTACTAACTTCGCTCGGTTCAGATACTCCTTCTTACTTTACATTGTGAATCAAATCTAAACATGTAGAGCAGTGGTTTGGCGAGTGATAAACTGATAAGACGTCATTCAGCTTACTAACTAGGTTTACACTTTCGAACTATAAGGCGCTCTAAAGAGACTCAGTTGTTGGTAATTCATCATACTGATTACCTACTTTCATCTTATCTTACTCTATAAAAAGCTCAAATTGTTTGGGGTATTGATAAGCTGAATGTTAGCTAGAGTATCATAAACATTTCAAATACTCACATGTTAATCACTTTCACGACTCAACTTAGATATGTGATGTTGAATGTAGCTGATTGTTAGATTAAAGAATACAGAAAAACTAAGTTTTATAGGTAATTGATCAAAGAAATAAATATGTTGGAATCCCCAGTATTTCTAGGTTAAATAAGTATCAAAGTCTACGATTTACCTATGAACTGTTTAATGTATGATCTCAGCATTTATTTAATCAACTTTTAGAATTTAGTTATTATTTAACGAACAATTAATCGTATGACTATCAAAACAATTCTTATTTATTTACTGTAGCTCATAAATTATTGCTTTATTTTCAACTATCATTTCTTAATTAAATCCGATATGCTTTTATGTTATTCTTGCAAAATCGAAGTAATTTAGATGGCAAATAAGACTAGTAATAAAAATTACATTAAGAATAGAGTGGGAAATTCATTAGAAGCTCTAACAAACAAATGCTCATCTAACAAAGTTATCTGCTAGAAATGTATATATATATATATATATATATATATATATAGCACTGATGAAGTATAAACAGTCATAAAATATGAGTGCTCAGTATAATTAAAATTATATCAAACTTTTGGATAAATATATGAAGTGTGAACTTAATTACAAACTTTCAACGATAAGAAATAAACACAGACTCAATATATTCATAAAATTTAATTACTATTGATTTAAAATAAGTGAAAAAAATATTGTAACGAATTTAATAAAAACACTAACTCATTTATTTTGAATATATATATATATATATATATATATATATATATATATATATATATTAATAAATCGATATAGGATGGTGGTTGAAGGTAGATGACTTGACCTTTGAACATATATTTACTAACATTTAGCCCCCATCAGCGATGTGTACTTATAATCCCAAGTGGACTTATGCTCCCTCGATTATTTGATTCCTTTAGTGCAGTTTCACAGTCTGATGCGTTACCACTGGGTTAAACAGGAGGTGGTTGATCTCCAGTAGGACTGAAGCATACTCATAGTTCATTGATCATTCAGAAGTGATCAGTGTTATGAACGTCTAATTTCTTCAATAACATGAAACTTAGGCCCAGGGTTCTAGTCAACTACATCTAGCCGCTAAACTGTGTCTCAGTACAATGTGATGCCATCTTGAGTCAATAAGACTGATGGTCGAATGGCAACTTGATCGGTAGAATTTGAAATGCATTAGGAAGAACTTTGTGGTGCTGTGGTGCGAACTACTTATAAGTAGTATATGACGTGAGTGTCAACGTAAAGTCTGGTAGCATAATATGGGGGGAAGATCAAGAAAGGAAGAGTTAGAAAACAATGGAATTTGTATGGAACGCATGAATAGTGACAATGGATTGATGTTTTGCAACAGGAACAGTCCAGTTCCAT